GAAACCCCCCCCCCCGAAATTTCACTTTTTTTTTTCCTTTTAGTTGATTATATGGTGGGGGACACTATGCGCAGGCGATGCGCGTGCCCCGATTTTGGGCACGCAGCTTCGCCTGCACGTGGCGCAGCCGCCGAAAAACTCGGCCGCGGGGCCGCGGCCGACCTCCTAGGCCGTGGGATCCGAGGCCGGGGGAACCATATAGTTCTTCACACTCTCCTTCCCTCCCCCGACTCGTGGCATGCATAATGTGATGCCGCCTCTTGAAACATCCCCTCCTCCCCTGAGGTGCAGAAACACCTCCTCGACATCTCTCCTCGCTCTTCCAATTCGTGGAAAGCAGAATTCAACTCTTCCTTTGACACTCTCCCTCCCACCTCCCATTTCTGGAAACAGTAATACGACTGTCCTCGACACGATAGGTATTACGTCCCCACCATGCGCATCAAAAAAACATTGTCGAACACGTCTTCACCCATCCATTACATCCCCACAAAAGCAGGACGCATAACGCACGACCCCTCAACCCTCCCTCTTTCTATGCTTGCCCTTGCATACAAACAAGCATAGGGTAGCAAGAGAGGTGGCCGGCAGAGAAAGTGAACAAGGAAGACAGACACAGCGCAGGTGCAGTGAAACGGTGCTGTAACAGCTGTGGTCGATAGCTGTATTAAAGCAAATTTTACGGCCAATTTCATAACGACACATGCTTGCAGCTGGGGAAGACAGCAACAAGAGCATCCACATGACATGTGCAGATGACACAATGCTTCACATCACTTGTGCAAATCTGATTACCATTGAAGACCCGTATAAAACGGACGGGGGCTAGGAAATAAGTTCTGGATGTATGCATGGATGGGTTGGAACGTGATGTGGAATCCAACGCATACTGCGAGGTGGACTCCAAGTGCAAACAATCTTCGTCGGATGGCAATATCGATGTCGTTTAACAACTTGATACTCTCAAAATTTGTTCCTCCAGCTTCACATACCCAAAGTCGTAAAGGGCGCGTACGCGGTGAATTAGGCGCAACGCCGTGAAAGTCACCAGCTCAACTGGTGGAATGCCTTCAAAACGGGTTCACTGAATGCAAAACTGTTCAAAGAAACAGAGACAAGGAGAGAGAGACTAACCAACCCTGCCAGAGCTTTCTTTTTTTGTACTTGCATTTTTCCAAATCCATGGAAGACCTCCAGCCCATGGCCAACTCTGCCCCTCAGTTGTCAGAGATTGCCAAGCTCAGTTGTCAGAGATTGCCAATAGGGATGGGCCACAGCCAGAGCCCCAGAGGCTATAGCAAATTTGGCCACAGCCAGAGATTTGGCCATAGCCAGAGGCGCAGAGGATGATTGAGGAACAATTTGGCCATAGCCAAAGGCCCAGAGGGTCCCTCCAGGTGCAATTCATTCCTGCAAGGCGACAAGTGTGAACTGACGAAGCCAGGGCAGTGCATGAATTATAACTCTTCAACTTGCACCATGCACCAGAGCACTGCGCACACATCGACCGCTTCTCTGTGGGAACTTTGACATCAAGGCGCCAAGAAAAGGTTGCTTGATTTCCTGTCCGATAAAGCGGTGTAGTTTCCCGGTGGAGTCTTTGCCACCTCATCATTTTAACTCTGGTTACAAATGAAAAAGTCAAAACTTCGGATAGGTTTAAAATTGACATCAGGGTGCTGAGAAAGGTTGTTTGATATCCTGTCCAATGACTCTCTCTCTCTCTCTCTGTGTCTGTGTGTGTGTGTGTGTGTGTGTGTGGTGAGGGATGACATCATTTGCCACCACTTCATTATCTTAACTGTAGTCAAAACTTCAAGCTAGTGCAAGAGAATGCTGCTGCTGAGCCTAACAGCAGCAGCAGACAGTTACAAACACAACATTGAGGCAGTCTGCAATTCTGCCTACAACAGGCATTAAACCACCAGTACATGGCCCCAGCCAACTTGAGAGTCACGACTGAGCATCTCCGAAATCATTGGAGGCTTGGGGAAACCAGACCAAAGTGGTGGGCGGCGCCAGCCAAAACTAAAACAAAAATGCGCACTGGCGTTTCCGCAAAGCTTGATGCGCGGTGAGAATCCGCCCTATACAGAAGAGGCACAGAAGTGCTGGTCCTTTAACACAGGTTATAAGCAGTCTCCTGCCTACAACATCAGGTTGATATAACAGAGCTGCCCAACCATCAAATTGTGATAAGACCTTTTTTTTTGCTTTTTTGTTTTTTTTTTTGTTTAAAACAGGTCCTTATGGCCCTGGCTCTGATAGACCTAGCACAGAACACACAAAAAAATGAAAGAAAAAAAAAAATATCATCTCAAATGACACAAAATTGACTGGATGTGGCAGGTAGACTTCTCCGACAGGGGGGAGTATGTTCTGCGGCGGAACTGCTGCCAAAGAAAAAGAGGCAAAAAAAATAAAAAGAGGATTCCCTCATTGCACACTAAAATAAGGAACTCCTGCGACAATGTCAAGGCACAAGGTAAACAGCATTCCAGGCGGCACAACCCTCTTCATAACAAAAAGTTCAAAGGAAAAAAGTTAAGAACGCCCCTGGGTGTAACCAATTACATTCTGACTCTTCCTATCGAAATCAAAATTTAACCGCCTATAAAATCGGCAACCTGAGCCCTCCTCAGGAGCCTAATTCACGGGCATTCCAATCTCAACAGCCTGGCGGCTGCCTCGATTATGCACTGCCCAACCAAAAACCAATCACCTAGTCTAGCAGGTGCACTTTCAGAAAAGAAGTTTCAAATTTCGTAAACCAGAGGATTCTTCAAAACTTCCCAAATAAAATTTGGGAGCCCAACACTGCTGTATCTGAGCTGATCACCACAATCTAGCACCGGGCTCCATGTCTTCCCCATTACCACCGAGACCCCATTAGCACCAAGACTGTGTCTAAATTAGCCTGGACTCCACACTTGTTTGCAGTGCTGCTCCAGCAGCCCCTCTGTGCTGTGGACCCAAAAAGACAGATTGGAATGCCTGACATTTTTCAGCCGTATGAATGAATATATGGGTGAGCCAAACACATACGTTTATTTTTTTTTATTTTTATTTTTTTGTGAGACGATGCTCCAATCTATTCCTGGGGAGCAACACAGCTGGGAACCGGGCCCAGCGTCCCTTACCAGAATACAAAAATGAACTACCAGGGCCATTACCCGGCTTCGGCTAAGAACAATTAAAGAAAAAGGAAAACTCAGAAACATTCAGAAAACGTGCGTCAACAAGCTCCCAACCACGAATCAGATAGGTGAAACCTAATCAATCCACCTTCGACCACCACCAGCATGGCTGTTTTCAGCAAGAACTGAAGCTCTTCCAGGCCGCATGCTCCCATCAATGCATACCAGTCAAATCTGTTTCCGTACTGGGCGGCCAACCGCACATTTCATTTATAATCCCTCAACCGCCATCCCTAACAGGAAGGAACAATGAGGTAGCAGGTACCTTCTCAGTGAGGCATACACACATGCTTGCTTCTCCTACATCGAAGCACGGAAACCTCAAAGCGGACCTTCGACTATATCTCTCAACCGGCATCCCCACCAGGAAGGAACGACGAGGTCACAAACACCTTCTCAGCTCAGCATATACACACATGCTTTGCTTGTCCTACATCGTAGCATGGAAACCTCCAAGCGGAAAAGGGTCACGAGCACCTCCTCAGCTCAGCACATACACAAGTGCTTTGCTTGTCCTACGTTGTAGCATAGAAACCTCAAAGCGGGACTTCTGCCCGTTTGGCGATATCCATGATGTCAGAGTGTATCTGATCTCCTCCAAGATCTTCCCCCGAGCTTCCAGTAGCAATTCGAATAACATCTTCAAGGAGAAGGAAATTGCCCATCACGTCGACATGGTCTCCCGACAGGTGTCCGCGTCCCTCCAGAAGTGATCCTGGCGGAACGTGCTTGTACTCACGAGTATAGACGGGAACTCCAGCTGGATTGAATTGTGTCTTACCACGCCAAGCCCTAGCACAAGGTCAACACACACATTTTCAGTCAGCAGACTGTAGTTACACAAGATACAACACATGAGGAGGTGCTCACAACTATAGGCAGAACATGAATCATCAGATCTAAGCAAAATTGCCGCAGATCTAAAACAAATTGTCATGGATCTAAAAACCATAACCCAGGCCATCTGACTGAATAGTACACTTGTGTAATTGTTACTGCACCGGACTAGGAGCTCAAATCCTGATAGAATGAGATGAATTCATAACGATAGGGTTACGCACCTTTTCTCAGGATTTAAACCATGGCTACACTGGACCCCGACCCGGACAGCTCATGTACGGTCGGGTCCCGACGTCCGGACACATCTGGACTTCCGGACATGCATGGTTCCAAACAGTCCGGATCGGTAAGCATGTCCGGAAATGCCCAGACCATTAAAAAAAAGAAAAAAATCTGAAAAAAAAGTATGTTATGCAGAATAACAATGCAAACCACTTTTGCCTCAGAGTAAGAAATCACAAGAAACACTTCTTTCGCAAACTCAGAATTCCTAACCAAACTTGAGTTAAAAGTCAAAAACTATAGCAAACTTAAAAAAAGACTTTAGAATGTAATGAATTACAAGATGAGACAGTGGGGCTTCGCCTGCAGGAATTGCCAGCTCAGTGCATTATAGACTTAGTGACTCTCACAGAGCCTGTGCGACTTTTTGGCCCATACCAACGAGCATGAAGGACTTAGACACTCTCACACCCACCTGACAAAGTAGCTAAGTACATGGAAGACTTAGTGAGTCTCAGAGGACCACAACGGCTTCGCAACATGACACAGTAAGGCATCCGCTCGAAATCTAAGTCCAACCCAGGCGAACAGAGAATTCAAAAAAAAATAAAAAAATCAGAGGGACGAACCAAATACCTTATACTAAGCACTTGTATAACCCCCTCCCCCTATAGATCTCCAAATCCTACAGCCCGCACAACATTGGCATTGCATCACTTTCAGCACTTCCCTAGACTGAAATCACCATCAACACTTAACATTCTTAACATTCTTCTGTTTTTTTTTTTTTTTTTGCTCCTTTTATTTGAAACTCGTAGCTGCCCTCCTGTATTCGCGTTGTTTTACTAAACTGAGAACCTGTCTTTTTTTTGCTCCTTTTAGAATTAACTCATAGTTGCACCATGGTCACTCGAGATTCTTCTTTTTTAGACCCCCGCTAAGCTTGCACATTTCGGAACTCACACCATGACACCGGTGCCGCTTTGTCTTTCCTTTGCCCATTTCAAACTAAAAGTTTGTCGCAACCACAACTTTCCCCTTTTTTTGTTTCCTTTTATTTTAAACTCATAGCTGCCCTCATCCATTCGAATCATTTTTACAAACCGAGTACCCCATCTCGTGGCAATGACCACTCACACACTTACCACTACTGCTTCACTTAATGGCTGAGACAATAACAAAAAGCAAATCTATGTGACTAAGACAGACACACTAACGTACTCACACAAAGACTGAATGACTTGGTGATTCATTCCCCCACTAACTCGGTTACTCACACCAAGACTGGATGACTTGGTGATTCATTCCTCACTAACTCACTATCTGACAGAGTTACAGATAGACACAGTGAAAAAATCATCACATGTTCACCAATTACTTCATTCAAATTCATACAAAGCGGGATTCACTGTTGAATGCAAGAGGACGATGCGACCATCAGTGCATCAGAACCACTGACCAATTAACCTAAGGACAATTCGATGCTCAATTGATCAACGTACACACAGGCACCAATTATGTGTGCAATCACACACATACACACACACCATTCACAAAGAGCACACATGTGCACCCAAACAAACCGTCACCCACCCGCCGTACATACATAGAGACAATCACTTCCACATATTCCAAAACACACACAAATATGCCCAAACACATAATTTTTGCAAATGCGGTAATTGATTCATCACTACACTCATTCATTAGTTAACTATTCACTCAATTCGTACATTTGTCAATCCATCACTCAATCAAATAGACAATCATTAAATCCACAAAAACATTTGTATGCATAAAAACACAGTTGCCACAAATCCAAACGGGAACTCAAATTACTAATACATTTTAATCCCCATCATATGCGAAACATTAAACCATCAAAAGATAGATCATCGCACAAAGAATGAAACATTCCAGTACCCAATTACAGTGTGAGATGACACATCCAAACCGCAATGCAATTTCACATTACTCTCGAGCCACATCGCATTATAAACACAAATCCCTGATAAAACATATATTGACAAAGAATGTCGGAACCAATGACCCACTTAAATCGTAAAATCGTTGTATCCAGTACTATCCACGATAGCACACAATTATCATCTGACTTTTTTCCACATACCAGCAACTCAAACTGGCCTCCTAGCAATACCCAACACTTTATCAATCGATCTCCCTAATTAGACAGGCAATTATTAACAATGGTTTCACGAACTAAATTCAACACAAAGCTTCTATCACACCAACAACTACCGTAATTACCAATCAAGAGTACGTGAAATCCTAATGCAATCAGCAACCACTAACCATGAATCTAACATACGTATCATGGTTGCCAACTGGACATCCACATCCAGATCCAGACAGTCTGCTGTCCGGTGTCCGATTTAGAGGGTCCGGTTGCACCCTCATCTCAAGAAATTAAAAAAAAAAGGGGGTCCCCAGGCCATTTTCCTGGGCCTGGGATACCCCAAAAAATTGTTGCTGTAGTTTTTTGTCGACCGTCACCCCATCCGGACCGGCCCTGAAGGGCCCACTGTTGGAGAACTTCGGAGGGCAGTAGCAGTTGTAGTATCCTGGTGTTGGTTTCCTGCCGGTGGGAGGACCCCATTTTTGATTGAAGCACCTCGTGCAGCCTTGTGCAGCAGCGCTCCCTCTGGTGTAGTAGTGCTCTCCTTGAAGTTCCCGCCCGCTCCAGCCATGCCATCGCCAACTCGAGATCCTCCGTCGCCCAAGAGTCTAGGAGATTGTCGCCGACGAGGAGGTTGCCGTCGACGAGGAGGTTGCCGCCTTGCCGGTTCAAGATTCAAAGATCCGAACTTTGGAGTTCAGAACTTCAAAGTTCTTGGGGGCTGGAGCGGGTGTGGAACTAATGTTTGGGGCCTGGAGCGGGTTGCAACTTTGTTGTGTGTGTGTGTGAGTTTGTGTCATGTGTGCCGGTTCATTCGAAGGTCTGAACTTTAAAGTTCGTAGTCCAATTTAATTAGCATGTTGGACCAGTCCCACAAATCTGTGTATGTCTATGTTCGTGTCACGTGTGCTGTTCTTTTTTTTTTTTTTTTTTTTTTTTTTTTTAACCGAACAACTGGACAATTACACACCCAATCGGACTGTCAGAGTCCGGTTGTCGGGATGTCTGGTAAGATGTCCGGTTAGCTGGTCGTTCGATTTAATCCAAACACCGGTCCGGTGACTGTCCAGTTGTCCGGATGTCTGTGTCCTGGGCAACCATGATATTTACATGTGCTAGTGGTAGACAATCCTTTCACTGGAGTACTCTTCACGATGTTTCGAATCCAACTCATCGTCATGCTCTGATCCCCATCTGAATGTCAAGGAGACGTGTCCGTAAGGCGCAGCGACCCGCGCTCCCGTGGCCGTACTTGGAAATCGGCAACGGATGGGAAGTGTCACTCCCGGCGAGCTACGAGGTCCGGGGAATATATGTGGAATGGCGAGCGGTGATCTTGGGGCGAAACCAGGCCTTCATGATGGTGGAATGCCTATGGAGTGGGATGAGATAATAGGGGGCCAGGGGACGACCTGTATACCGACCTTAGGGTGACCGGGACTTTGTACTTCCCCGAGACCGGGTGGCAGATGCTGGGAACGGAATTGGCCCTGGGGCATGGGCTGCTACCGGTTTTTCGGAGAGTGGCCAGGGCACTAAACCGGATAGAGCACGAAGTTAGGGGGAGAAGGAACGTGGGCTTGAGGACGCGGGTAGAAGTAGGGGGATGGCGATAATTCAGGGCCCCGACATCCGGCCTGCGCTGCCGGGTGCCCCGGTTCATGATAGACCTGATATTCGGAAGCCTCTCTCGGGCAAGGGAATTGGTGAGTTCGACCATAGTCTGGAACCACCACTTCAAACCGCAAACGACCGGGATGTTTTACGACGTGGCAGTGAGGTACGGGCCGTTTTGGGGAAACCGGGCGCATGAACTACTTGAGCTCATTGAGATTTTAATATTTGGGACGCCCCACCTATCCTTCGAGGAATTTGAGCCAATAATCATTAGGGAAATTGAGATGGGGAGATTGTGGGTGAGAAAGAATCTGGAGGCTAAGGGAACCCTGGGGGCTGAGACCCACTTGTCCTGACAAAAAAAAAATTTCCTTCCATATACAGGGCTAGAGAAAGAAAGAAATGGCAACGGGCGAGGTTGTCGGAAGTCAGCAGGACGACGAGAACCGGGATGTAGACGAAGAGGTAGAGCGAGAAGAGGACGCCTTAGGGGACCGGGAGTCAGCTAAGTCACCAGGGGCTAGAGAAGGGAGCAAGGAAATCGTCCCCGGTGGAAACTCGGGGAAGGTCGGAGGAAGCAAACGAGGAACCCAGGAAACTGAGGAGGTTAGAGACAAAGGCAGCCCAACACGTCAGCACCAGGAAGGCGCGGAACATAAGAAGGTAAGACTGACCGATACGCGGAAGAGGCTGGCAGGGATAGAAAGGAGAACGACATAACTTAGAGCAAAATTACTGGAAGAAGTAATGAACGAGAGCGAGAGGAACTCGGCTGACGGAAGGGTACGAGAGGAAGAGGAGGCAAATTCAAGAGACAGGGAGCCAAGACGCGGACATACAGCAGAGGAAGGACCGGGCCAAGGATCCCAGGGGGACCGCAATAAGGAAAGAGAAGGAAAAAGAGGACTCTCCCAGAAGGGACATAGAGAGACCTACCAACCCCCCTCTCTTGGATAGTGGCGCAAGCCGACCTTCGGCGACCCCGGCAATCGCTAGGGGGTGCGAGGGACTTTGGAGTCTGAGGGAGAGAGTGCTGGGGTGGTTTGATCCGGAGGGGACTGCGAAGACGAGAGGAAGACCAAATACAAACAAGGAAGATTTAGGGGTCGGACCGGCGGCAGGGTCAAG